ATAATTCAATTTATTCAGTAGTCAACATCTTTCAATTTTTTTTTTTATTGCAATTTTATCCCTTGGTTAAACTACCTTTTTAGGCAAAATCTTAACCCTAATTTTTTTCAAGCACACGTGTAAATTTGGCCTGACTTGGACCCGAACCGGCCCATGTCGGGTCTCGCGAGCTTCTGTCAAATTTCTGGCCGGGCTGGGCCGGCCTACATGCCAGAAAATTAAACCCAAGCCCATGAGGTATTCGGCCCTTGGACGAGCTATTGGGCTTAGGTTTGGGCTTGAACAAATTTTTTTATTTTTTAAATTTTTTCTACCAAAAATTTATTATTTTTCACTAAAAAAAATGCTGGACCTCAAGTCGGGCCTTAAAGCAGGTCCACAGGCTGGGCCAGGCCGGGTTTTAAAATGATAACCCAGGTCTTAGCCTAGGGTCTCGGACTGAGCTCGTGCCCAAACGATCTTGGCCCACCTTGGGCCGCTAGCGAATTTTGGGCCGCCCATGGGACGTGAGTCATTTTTACACTCCTATGCACACTAGCACCAACAATCGCAACCTTAAAGCATCTCCAACGGTTCAGTATAATTTTCACCAAATCTGAGTAAAAAAAAACTGATTTTCTCAATCTGACACGAGTAGCTCCAATGGTTACACTGTAGTGTGCATCAAAAGCGAAGGGGACATCCGGTGAGTCAACCGGCTGGTCGACCAGTTAGGCTTCTCAATTTTTTTTTCCCCCTCCCTTTCTGTTCCCAATTCGTTTATTATTTCCTTTTTCCTTCATTACATATTTTTCATTTTTTGTTGCCTCCAATAATGATTTCCTTCCAAAACCTGATGTAAACACATTATCCATATGCCATATACCAAACAAGTGATATGATTATATCTAAAAGGCATATAACTAAAAAAAAAAACAGAACATAATGAGTATCTTAAATTCCATGATGTTCACATCATTTTCATCCTCTTCTTCTTCCTCATCCTCTGATGATGAGTCTGATGATGAATATATAGTCACACTTTTGGAGGCTTATGAGATGAATAATGCTAGTATGATTCAGATTCTGTAATCAACTGATTGATCAAAGAAAAGAGGTGGTTTTGTTGTAGGCCATAAGTACATACGCCGCGATAGAAGGAAGGGTCATGAGCGATTGTTTGCGGATTATTTTGCGGTAAATCCAGTTTATTCACCTACAACGTTTTGGAGACGTTTTCGAATGCGTCATCCTTTATATCTGTGAATTTTGAATGACATCAAAGCACATAATCCATATTTTGTTCAAAAACAAGATGCAGCTCATATTCTTGGATTGTCTCCTCTACAAAAGATGATTTCAGCTATGAGAATATTATCATATGGAGTGGCAGCAGATGCAGTTAATGATTATATACGTATTTGGGAAAACACACCAATTCAAAGTTTGCAACAATTTTGTAATTCAGTAATTGAAATCTTCGGACCAAAATATCTGAGATCTCCAACACCAACTAATATTGCTAGATTACTTGCTATTGGGGAGGTTTGGAGGTTTCCAGGTATGTTGAGAAGTTTAAATTGCATGCATTGGGAGTGAAAAAATTGTCCAAAGGGAAGCGTAGAGCGGTTGAAGTTAGGATGGGGGTTTAGTTGAGGGAAAATAGCTGAAGTGAACGGGCCAGAGAGACAGAGAGGGAGACAGAGAGAGGGACACAGCTCCATACCTCATATCTAGTTCGAGAGAAGGGCTTCACTTCAGCAATGGAACCAACACAGCCTTCTAGTTACGTTGTTGTTGGAAATCGCCCGTTATACTGTTCCCTACAGAGCTTCGTCAATGGAACGAACCCAACAGGGGCTTCTCCCTGTTAATGGAAATCAACGGTTACACTGACTCAACCTACACAGAGAGGAGAACAGAGAGAGATAGAGACGAAATACAGAGAGTGAGTGGGATGCAATCATGCAAATACAAGCATTAACCGGTTGCGTAATCAATACCGGAAAAGTGTTATTTGTTTCAGCATCATCTCCAGCCTCGTTATACCTTATCCTTGCAAGAGCCCGATCATAGTGCCTAACAAATTCATATAGCTTCAATTTGTGTTGGAGGAAGGGATTGAAATAAGCATTCATACACTCCGAGCGCTGAGTGCTCTTCATCCCAGCAAAGAAATGTCCACGCATATATGCCTCAGCCCACATATGACGCTTCTCATATGTCTCCAACACCCAACTGTTGGTTTGAAGTCCAAATTCTTCGACCATTGTCGTCCAGCCATGCTCAAACTTTGTCTCATCCGTTTCCATGTAGCCAATCAACTTGGTCGCGGTTCAATTGACTAATGGACAGCGGCAAGTACACAAAGATGGTAGGCATACTGCGTGGTTCTTTCCAGTATATTTGTCGGTAAGTAAGTGTTTTAGGTCGGTTGTGTATTGCAGAAGACATATTTTCAGAAAACTTTGGCTGACTGAACTTTACACACTAAACATGCAGACTTTGATACTAAATCAAAAAACTCAACCTCTGAACCATGAAAATATGGTCAAATCATATTTTGGACATGACAGATATACTGGGGTGCTTGATGCATGTGAGAAGGTAATATGAATGTCTATCCCATTGAAGCGAGTAGATTTAATATGGACGTCGGTAATATGAATGTCGATCCCATTTACTTGAATGTCAATGTAAATATGAAAGTGCGTACATGTTCGCATGCCCTCTAAACAATGTCTTCGCTTGTGTTTATGTTTATGTGTAGATTTACATGCCTTTCAATTATCGAGGAGTACATTGGGTGTGCCTAAAAATAGATATGGTAGATCGTGTGGCGTACCTATTTGACTCATTGGCATCCGCCACACTGGACACCAACAAGCTGAACACAGCAAAAATGTTGGTATGTCGTGCTGAATTTCACAAATCTACTTCCACACTGTCACATCCTTCACATAAACTAACCGTCTCATTCTGCAACAGGTTCAAACAATGCATGCCTTACTGCAACTACAGTTTGGAAATGAATATGCTGTAGACATGCGTACCTTTGAGGTGCGCATGTTAGAACAAAGGCCATTACAACAGCTGGACGAGTAATCCACAAACCCTGCGTCACATTGACTTCACTCTTGAATCACTCATTTAACGAACCTGCTTATATTTTACGAGAAACTGAATGTTACATTTCATTTGTAGCACTTTCGACTGTGGGATGTTTGTGATCAAGTACATGCAGCGGCCTGATATACCCAGCGGTCCACACAAGGTACATTGTACTGCTTAATTTCCAATTGCGAAATAAATCCGTTTATTCCCTACCGCTGTAATTGTACCTGATTTGTGTTATTCGCTTTTTGTACATAGTTTCATCCTTCTGTGCGCCGAAAGTTGGTGCTTGACTTCGTTATGGATGTGAACAATACAAAGATGGGCGAGTATCGTTCGTGCATGTGATTGATTGCAATTATAACAAATAGTGCAGCGATTTTATCATGGCCTGCCAGTACGAGTGTAATTTCGATGCCCAACCACAACTGGATTACTGCATCAGCTTGTCGTGACAACTTTTTAGGTCGCAGCTGTGATAATACTAATTTCCCACGCGTATTGATTGTACACATAATTCCAATGTTTGGGACTCGAACAAACGAGGGAAAGTAGTCATGTTTGTTTGCTTTTATCGTGGCCTGTACGTAATGTGATACACATAATTCCAATGTTATGGGTACAGTACAGAACAAACAATGCAATGTCATATTTGCCCAAATGACTATACTAATGTTTGTCCAGTGCAATGTGATATTTGTCCAACAAACAATGCAAGTTGAAAGTAGTAATGTTTGTTCGCTTTTACCACATGAATTATGTTTGTTCGATTTTTTTGAATGCCATGATTTTGTCCAAAACAAAGCAAAAAAAAGCCTACAGAACAAACAAATAGCGGTGACTATAATGCACTTTGAAAGGGAATTGATTACTTCATAAAAATGCACAAACGGTGAAAAATTACACAAAAAATAAAAACAACCATACAACAGACCATTAAAAACACAGAGTATTGATATTCAATTTTTTTTTTTGTTCAGCAAAACAAAAAACTGTATTGATGGAAAAGCACATACAAGGTGTCAATGATACATCAACAAAGAGGAGGTTGGAGACCAACGAAGAGAAACAAAAACAGAAGGAAAACAATAACAATGTAACTCCAAGCCCATCCTCACAAAACCACATAATAGGGCAACCAGATGAAACTCCAAGGCAGCATGAACAAACTTCAGACCATACAGCCACCATTGAGACTTGAGCCTGAACCTTCAACCACCATTGAGACTTGAGCCTGAACCTTCAACCTCCAAAAAAAAAAAATTAGTACAGCAGCAGACCAACAATTACAACAAGGCCCGCAGCCGACCTCCAATAACTTTCCCCAATCCAGCAGCAGACTTCCAATACAGCACACCAAAACATTATTCAAACAATTGCAAAAAGGCCAATATGCAGCAGCAGACTTAAGCCTATTCGTTGATCCCATATAGCAGCAGCAGAGTACATATATAGCAGAGCAGATTTGAAGCACAGCAGAGCAGCAACCAGAAATGAGCATGCTTGACCCCATAAACTAAGCCAGAGCAACAAGCCAAAAATAAGGCAAAGCATAACAACATTGAAGCACAGCAGAGAAAAAGTAGCCACCAAGAAGATATGGTAATACCACAGACTGACCAAAATCCTGCATACCACAGCTTGACCAAACTCCTGCACCCCAATTTCAAAAAACACCAAACACCACCCCCTAAATGAGACTTTGATACTATCCAGAATACAATATATGTCGTCCACTGAATACTGTAGGCCTCTATAACTTTGCTTACAGCAAAGTGCAACCCTCACTTTCACCATCTCAGCCAATTCAGGCCCATCAACAATCTTATCATTAAAAAGGCAATCATTCCTACCTTTCCAAATCATTCCTAGGTGTGCAATACAAAAGAATACATATATAAACTAGCCTAGGATTTGGGGAACAGAACGCCTAGAACACCCCACTCTGGTTGAGCATCTGCCAGCATGGCTTGGGCTTGGTCCAACTCAGCTTTAGTTGTCTGAATGGATGCAGAACGATGTCTAATTTGGGAGAGCATCATCCTTGCTTCTTGATTAAGCTGGTCGTGTTGCTGTTGCAGATGAGCCTTTCTTCGCCGAACAGAGGCAAGTTCTGCCATGAGTTTGGCTTCCTCAAGTTCAAGTGCTGAGTGTTGCTGTAGAATGGCTGCAGAGGTCTGCTGGCTGAGTTTGAGTGAAGTAGATATGGTGTGGGCTTCATTTAGGAAATCCTTATTGGTTTGAATATCCTTCGAGCAAGTCTGAACCATCTCTGAAAGGGTTGGCCATTCTGTGATGATCTTGGCCAATTGCTTTAGTTGAATGGGGTTGAAAGGATTAGGGGAGAGGTTTACAACAGCAGAAAGACAGGCCAAGGTTTCATCAGGTTTGTGGAGAATGATTTCTTCAACTGGGGTGTTAATGAGGTTGATGAAGGTGGTTAAGGTTTGTTGAGTTTCAGCATCAAACAGATGTAGCCTTTGAGGCAATGGGGATATTTCGTCTAGATCTTGTTGAAGAATAGAAACTTCGGCCCAAATATCCTGGCATGGACCGACGGCCTGTGAACATTAATAGTTTGGTGAGAATATATGCTTGCAAGTAATAAAGAGTAAATAGGATGAGGTTGGAAATGGTAGTACCTGTCCTGATAACGTGCACACAGACGGTTGGCCTTGTTCAGCTGTGGTTGTCGCATGAGGACGAGTTGTTTCTGGTACTGATGAAATGGCAGCATCAGCGCCTTGAGGGTGTTTCTCTGGTTCTGCTAGCAGGGGAAAGTCATGAGGACCTTCAAGTTCTGTCTCGCCCATTGGTCGTGGAGATGAGTCCTGTATTACGTCCATCCCTGTAAATTGGAGAACAATACCAGTTACTTAAAGAGAAGTTTTTTTTTCCCAAACGAACAGTAACATCTGTATTTCTATTTACCTTGGTTGTGGTGAACTTCTGGTTGAGGGGATTTTGTGTTGTCATCTGTTGGAGAGGATTGGCTGTTGATTGAAATGTCAAATTCAATCCTCTGAGATTCTTTGTTTGACGTTTGGGAATTGGAGGGGTTGGATGGTGATGGTTGAGGGCTAAAGATAGAAGGGACAATGTGTTGAAGAGAAGTGGAAGGATGTTGTGATGCAGACTGTGTGGATTGCTGTGGCAAAGACTGTGAAGCAGGTTGTAAGGGAGTTTGTTGCGATGCTTCAGGTGGTGGTGGAGTTGGTTGTACAGTGGGTTCTATGGGTACATTGCTGATTAGACTGGGAATTTGATGAATGTGTTGAGGAGAAGTGGAAGCATCGTCATCATCAGCAGCAGCAAGGAGTAATCTCCTTCTTTTTCTCTGCACAAAAGTAAGTGATCAGTCGGGCGTGAATGCAAATTCAGATGCTGTAAATATGTAAAGTGAAGGCTTACTTGGTAGAGCTGCCCTGAAGGATTTGATGTTGTTTCGCCAACCATTTGGCTGAGAGGGATATCCCACTCACTTAGGTCTGTGCTTAGAGCAGGAGCAGTGGAAGGCTCTTCTCTCTTCTTCGCCGTGACCTCTGTCTCAGCAGGGGTACGGGTGGTAGCTCCTCTCTGTGCTTGTGTCTGCGCGGCTGCGAAAGAGTCTGCCATTAATTTCGGAACTGAGGGGGTGTTTGTCTGAGTAGTTGCATCCATTGGATCCTTGCCTTTACGTTGGTCCCTAACCAATGGTTCAGCAATAGGCCCAATTTTGGCTGTCAAAGGTTAAACAAGTTAGTGTTGTAGAGAAAAAAACAAAACAAATTGCATGACACAGTCAGGGATATGAAGTATATGAAGGAAGGATACCTGTAGCCTTAAGCTTGGAAGGCGAGGATATGCGGCCCTGAATATGAATACAAGTATCGTTAAGGCAGCTTTCAAGTGGCTTGCAGAAAATAATGGCAGACATAAGTCCCCACCAATGGTCAAAAGCAGCCGAGCAGTCCGAAGCAGGTTTGAAGAAGAAGGGGCCAAAATCTTGGAAAAGTTTGGTGTTCTCTGTCAGAATGGATTCAGCTTGTGTAGGATCTTTCAAGTGGATTCTGGACCCAATCTCCTCATGGATGGTTGGGTGGAAATAAGGATAAGGGATAGCCTGGGAAAGACCAAATTGCCTGGACCATTGATTGGGACAGTATGTCTCAAAACTGCAGCTGGATAGCTTGGCGGAGGATATGGAACAGCCAACCAAGACATGTCTACAGGTGAGAATGTGTCTCCAACTCTCATTTTGTTCTTGGACTTGCTCATTGTGTAAATCAGAAGGGTCTGTGAAGAGGAAGCGAAGTCTACTGGAGGAGAATTCAAAGTTTTGAAATGGCATGTACAGGTTGGAAGGTCTCTGCGAAGGAAGGTTATAAAACATGGTAAGATGATTTGTGAAAGTGAGTTTTGAATGGCTGTTATAAGTGAGCAGTTGCTCAGCATAGGAGTGGCAAACAGGTTTCAAGGTGTTAGGTGGTGGGGGTCGTGCCTCAGGGAAATAGGCATACAACCAGGCCTGGAAGAGCCAGAAGGGGCCACCACAGTTGCCAGAAATCTTCTTGTCGACAAAGGAAAATAGGGCCTTGTAAAGGGTGGCAAGAAGATAAGGGGCTAAAGCCATAAGTTGGCCGTCTTGCATACACAAGGCAAGGGGGAGGTATTCTTTCGTGATCTTGTACCCAGGGACACAAAAAAGAAACTCACAAAGCCAAAGTAAGTAAAAAGCAGTTCTTTCTTTGTCATCGACAGGGGAACCACGCTTGCCTTGGTATTTTTTGGCAAATTCTGTATAGCACATGTCAGTGTTTAAAGTAAATGTCACTTTTGGAGGCTCAAGGAGAGCATGAATTGGATTGCCCAAGATTGGCAGACCAGTCAAGTGAGCTACATCTAAGATGGTAGGGGAAATCATACCAAAATTGAGGAGTAGGGAGTTACTAGACTGCGACCAAAAGCATGCAGCAGCAGCAATCAGCCCTTTCTCCACGTCATAAATTTTAGTCGACAGTCTAATTGCTTCACCAATGCCCTGGTGCTTCCATACTTCAGCGTCGTGACCTTCAATTCTCCTGGCCCAGCTTCGCCAATCAGAGTCTGGTGACCTCCACCCTCTGAGTGGGTTTTTGCTGACATTCCAGTTAGTCCACTTGAGTCCAGCTTGGTTGAGACGAAGGTTCTCACCATTACCAAGGGGATAGTATAGAGCTAGCTCGTCTGGGAAGTAAGACGCGAAGGTAGGGCCTAGAGTAGCCTTAGCGACGGAGCTTGTGCTGGGCAATAGGGTTGCAGCAAATTTTAGAGGAGCGATAAGTGCTCTGATATGGTCCGGGAAGCGGAGTAGGTCTTCATTGTTCTCCTCAGATGGAGATGGTTGAGATTTTTTCGGCGCCATGGCTTAGGGTTTTGTGGTGCTCTGGTTTTGAACGGCAATGGTTGAGAAGAAGGAGTACAGTCTAGGGAGTTCGAATCAGAGGGAAATGAAGTGGTTTGAAGTTGAAAGGGTGGGTCTTTTATAGCTTATGATGGGGCCAGTATATTTAAAAGCTATTATATTGGGGGCCCGTATTAAGAAATTTGCTATTGGGCCCAAACAATGGCCCCCTCGTTGAAGTTAAATATCATATGACTTGGACCCCCATGACCCCCTCTCTCTCTGATTGGCCACTTTTTTTTTTTTTCTTTTTTTCAATTTCTTATTTTTTTTCCTTCTCCAATCAGCAGCCCCCACGTATGTGTGTGTGTGTGTGTGTGTGTGTGTGTGTTGGGGGGGGGTGGTAGTGATTGGAGGGGGTCTCAATCACTTCCGCAATATTTAACTTGAACATGGGGGCCATTGTTTGCACCAAGTTTTGCCAGTCTCTGTCGACAGATGGTCCACTCAATCGAGGGCATGTGGCCAAGTCTGAAGGAATGTCCACGACCTGAAAGTGGGCTCTCTGCATGTGGGTCACCTAGAAGTGATAGGGGAAGTTTTTACCACCAGTCATGGACTTAGCGGGCACACTTTCAGGAGGAAGCATGAGACAAAGCAGGAGCCTTGCTCTGTCGACAGAAGTTTAAAACAGTTGGTGGCCATGAAATAAACACAAGAAAAGGGAGCTCGACAGATAGAAGTGGAGGTTTAGTATTGATATCCGTATACTGTTTTTGTGGCCCATCATTGCATGATCCCACACGTCTACACCATAACTGCCACTGTAACTGCCCCCTGACTTCGAATCTTCAAGTCCACTCTGCCAAATATTGACTCTTCCCTGTCGACCTTCCTTTTCACCATTGTGGGGGCATGTCCCTCATCATTATGAGACAAAAATCGACAGAATATTGTCCACTAAACACAACCACAATCATTGCAAACTGGGTCAATGAACCGCAACACTTGGCCACTCACTGTTACTGCCCCTGACTATGAATCATCAAACTCTGCCAAATATTGAATTTTCCCTGTAATTTAATCAAAATATATTCAATGTCGGTAAACTTGTAATGACTTAAACACAATTGTTGTCCTACATTTTACGTAACGAAAATACACAACTTATTTATATCAAAAACAAAATATACATCTCGGGTTTATAATCAAAAAAATGGGAACTACTTTTTTTTAAAAAAAAGTTCACTCATATTTTCACCTACATTCTGATTGGATATTAGATTAAAAATTCCTCTTTGCACCTATTTTTCCCACATCCTCCCAACAGCTGCTCTATTCAACTAACATTGAATCTTGCATGCCACCTGACTTACACGCTGGAGCAGTTACTGGCAGTGCTCATGGATTTACTGGCCACCCTCCAAGAGGAAACATGAACGAATTGGGAGTCTGTATCTGTCGAGGAAAGGCTAAAAGGACCTGGGCACAGGTGGCAACTTCAATTATATGCACTTCGACAGGTGGCAACTTACTTTCTACATTGTAACTTCTGTGTAGTTTTTTCCCTTCTACTTTCTACTTTGTTACAAACAACACAACAACTTACTTTCTGCTTTCTACTTTCTACTTTGTTACTTTCTACTTTGTTACCATCAGTTCATCGAAAGAAGTCTTCATCCATTTCAGGCATTTGAACCAATACCACAATTGCTTGATTTTCTTCTTGAACTTGTCAACTTTAAATTACTGCTTCTTTGATGTCCATATAAGCCCACCATAATTTTACTAACAATAAACCCATACTTCCATAGTAAACATTAAATAATTTCACAACTCCTGTTCGTAACTCGTAATTCATATACCGAGCGGCATGGAGATAAAGTAACGAGTTCGTTGGGTTACTTTCTCCAAGTAACACCCAAAATTAACTGCCACTTGGATTATATACAAAATGCATGTGCTGGCATGTAATTTTGCAAACCCACTTGGACAAAATTCGTATTTTACTCGAAATATAATACTAATTTACGGACACAAGTCATAACAAATCAATACGAAGCGAAACACATCGTTAGTTGATAAACCACACCGAAAAAAACCCTTCAGTTAGATCCAACCAAATATGGAATAGAAACAAGCAACCCGCAATAGGAATCTTGGAATACAGACATAATCCAATTTCCCACCCAAAACAACACACAGACAACCCATTTATATCTCACCTCACCTTCAATTAGTTTTGAAAATGACAAGTCACTGCAAACACAAATGACAACATCACTCTAAACAATATGGGAAATTTACAACTCGTAGCCTTGTACATAAGTAACGTTGTGCCATTTCCTGGCATTGTACATAACCCATTATTTACACGTTACGTACAGCAATCCGTGCAAAATGAAAACTACATACATCATTTCCATGTGTTTTCAATAGCTAAGGGAATAAGTAAATCATACAAATTATACAATTACCTAATTCACCTCATCAATGGTGTTCGAATCATTTTTCCACACTGCTGCTTCAACACTACCGTATTGGCCCACAGGCTGCTTGGAATCAGGAGAAACATCGAAAAATAGTCGCTGTTGCTTAATGTGCGGTGTACTTGGATCCACCAACCCAGTTTTGCAGCGAATGGGCAATGACTCCGCATTGTACTCACGGTCAGTTATGTGGGGTGTATCTGCATTTGAGTTAGTACCCACTGTTCGGCTAAACCGAACCTTAGGACACGTTCGCTATGTGTGCCCAATGCATTTGCAATTCCCACATTTTCTTGGTCTTCGACAGTTGGACGAGGGGGTTCCCTTTTGTCTTCACAACATCAGGATCTTCTACTCCAAATTGTCGACGGAATGAATGTTTCCTTGTGTCTCTATTCCCACCGTTCAAATTCCTCTCATATAATTCCTTCATCCGGCTCATCATCGGAAGACATGCATCCCTAGCCTCTTTGAAACCTTCCGTTGATTGCGAGGCATAGAAACACATTTCGTTGTAGGAACAACTCAATATCCCATACCGGGCCGTCTGTGTTGTAGTGCTATCAATTGAGGGTTGAGGCTATTGCTGGCCATCCTTGCTTGCAGCCCTTGTCCATCTATGCAGCACACAAGTTGGGGGAATTTGCGTTAAATTTTCAGCTTTCATAACACATATCATGTGGCAGCAAGGTAGCCCCAACGACTCAAACTTCATGCAAGAACATCTCATTGCAGCATCCATTGGACTGTGTGTTACTATCCATGATCTGTCCTTCACTTTGTGCTTATGAATATAGTAGCATTTCTGACCATCCGGCAAAGGGAACACGTCCTTTACATTCAACTTCCCCTCTTCTAAGATTTCATCACGGAACATTCTAAATATATTTCGGGTGAATAGTTCAGCTCCATGTCTCTCTATATCTTGCAATGGAGTAATCAATACCGGAAAAGTGTTATTTGTTTCAGCATCATCTCCAGCCTCGTTATACCTTATCCTTGCAAGAGCCCGATCATAGTGCCTAACAAATTCATATAGCTTCAATTTGTGTTGGAGGAAGGGATTGAAATAAGCATTCATACACTCCAAGTGCTGAGTGCTCTTCATCCCAGTAAAGAAATGTCCACGCATATATGCCTCAGCCCACATATGACGCTTCTCATATGTCTCCAACACCCAACTGTTGGTTTGAAGTCCAAATTCTTCGACCATTGTCGTCCAGCCATGCTCAAACTTTGTCTCATCCGTTTCCATGTCCATGCACTGCTTGAAAGCATGTGCAAAGCCACTTATGTGAACATTTGAAACAGCATTTTTCCCAAGATGCCAATTACATAATCGATGTCTTGCATCTGGAAATACTCTTCTGATTGCCTCTCGCATCGACTTATCCCCATCTGTCAGTACGGACACAGGTGCTTTATTGCTCATCGCCTCTATAAATGTTTCCAAAACCCATGTGTACGTCTCAATTGCCTCATTAGCTAGCAAAACACATGCAAATATCGTGGTCCTAAAGTGGCTAGCTACACCAGCCAACATGACAAAAGGTTTCTTCTATGCATTGGTTCTGTAAGTTGAGTCAAATATCAACACATCACCAAACTTTGCGTAGTCGGCCCGCGATTTCGAATCTGCCCAGAACAGATTTTGTAACTTGTTATCGTTACACACATCATACTTGTAAAAAAAACGTGCATCAACATCAAGTTTTGCGCATAGGTAAACCAACGCACCCTGCGCATCACCATCCTCAACTTCTGCTCTACGTTCGGCTTGAATATGGTTGTGCAGATCCGTATGGATGAAACCAACATTCTCATAAGACCCGGATTGATTTACCATATAGTCCATGATTTGCTAGTCTTCACACCAACATTGCGCATAGCCATTGCTTGAGCTTTGTCACCGCTGTTTAAACTGCGATGTGACCTCAGATACATCACACAGTGTTGTTCCGCCAATGCATGGTTGTGGTCTGCGACGAAGTGAGTCACAACATACTTTCCCCCTTCACCAACATCCGCATCGTACCGTATGCGAAATTGGGCTTTGCAACCTACTCTTGTTAGTGCCTTGGGAGCTCTACTCTTCTCAGCAACACGGTCCAAGTATTTTGGTAATCTCTGACCTTCCCTTGAACACAACCACAGCCTACTAACGACCTTTCCCTCTTTATTTGTGTTAAATCTGGATTTTCGTATACTAAATCCCATGGCTTTAGCATACGCATTGTAGAAATCTTCTCCATTCCAGAATAGCACGTTCAACATCACCAACCATGTCATTGCGATGAGCATCGTCAACCATTTCTTTTTTCACGTCGGCTCCGCCATCTTCAACGTTCATGTTGGTTGCTTCTTCATTGCTCGGACCAACTTCGCAACCATGATCAGGTTCTGCCCAACTTTCATTCATCAAACGGATGTCATCTACTTCATTTGGAATGTCATAATCATCACCTTCCCTTTTACCTTCCGCTGGGGCCATACTGCACATGACATTACTACCAACAATTACTTGATGACCGAAAATTGTTAACACAAACACAAACATGACATTTTCACACGGGTTACCTGTTTGTGCAAACACAAACACTCGCTTGAGAAACAGAAAGAGAAAGGTTAGCTGCCAATGGAGGGGTTTCCGTTGGAGCGAAGCGTAGAGCGGTTGAAGTTAGGATGGGGGTTTAGTTGAGGGAAAATAGCTGAAGTGAACGGGCCAGAGAGACAGAGAGAGAGAGACAGAGAGAGGGACACAGCTCCATACCTCATATCTAGTTCGAGAGAAGGACTTCACTTCAGCAATGGAACCAACACAGCCTTCTAGTTACGTTGTTGTTGGAAATCGCCCGTTATACTGTTCCCTACAGAGCTTCGTCAATGGAACGAACCCAACAGGGGCTTCTCCCTGTAATGGAAATCAACGGTTACACTGACTCAACCTTACACAGAGAGGAGAACAGAGAGAGATAGAGACGAAATACAGAGAGTGAGTGGGATGCAATCATGCAAATACAAGCATTAACCGGTTGCCCCGGTTTCAACTTTTTCACGATTAAACAATTCAATGGTCTTGATCAATTATTGTAATCTAACGGCTAACAATTGGGTTGCATATGGTGTGCAACCTTAAGGGGGTTGCACACTTAAGCATGACCCTTGACAAAAAGACATTTAACCGAGTTATCAAAACAAGTCATAATCTATACTAAGGGCACACGGTCCGAATTGGTTCAGTTCTGAGAAAATTTAAAATCCGTATCGGTTTTAATAGTTTTGTGATTTTGAGAATCAGACCAGACCGTTACACTTGTAAAATCAAACTAGAATCAAATTGAAAAAATGGTTCGGTTTCGGTTTGGTTTACGGTTTCAAAAATTTCTATTTACAAGAATAAATTGTTAATATTAGCAAAATAATTACTCAAACTAATTACATTTAACTCATGATAAAAACTAATAATATCAAATCGCAATATATATGAAGTATACATGACGCTATTCCTGAACTAACCAATACATTCTCCTAAACAAAACATACTCAGATCAATTTTCTTCTTATATTTACACGTGTCAGCAAGATCAACAAACACATTGCTTTGCTTAGATCTCGTACGAACAGGGCAAACCCGAATCTTTGTAAATCTATACTATTATATTAAGTGAGACCTTTTTTGGTGTCTTAAGACTTTTGCCATGTGGCATTTATATAATAAATAAATAAATAAAATAATATACAATAACTTCTCACTCAACCACATTCTCTAAATAACTACTCTACAATAACTTCTCTTCTCCAATAACTTACTTTTATCATTTTTCTTTTTTCCTCTCTTTCAACAATGGTTTTCTCTTTTAAAGAAAGTACAAAATTGTTTGATACAATTATGACAAATAAAGTACAAACTAATAAAAAAAACTATCTTTTGTTTCTTTTTTTATGGTAAGTGATCTACGAGTTTTCAAATTTTATGTTATCAATGATTGAAACTTTTGTTTATTTGTTTTGTTTTTCGTATAAATTTTGTTCATTTTTTTTTCTTCCTCTCCTTTTACCATCATTTTGTTAACATGTGTTTTTTCTTTTTTCTTTTTTTCTTTTTTTTTTAACATTTTGATTTTTCAAAGAAGGAGATTGAGTATGTTGAAGATGCCCAAAGTGCAGAGTCATACAAGAGTTGGTCATTTGGTGAGTCATTATGCAAAATTTACATTCATAGGCCCTATTTGGTAGGGCTTATTTCTAGTTTATTTCAGCTTTTAGCTTAATTTAAGTTATTTTGATATATTTGATTCAGCTTAACAATACAGCTTATAGATTTTTGTAAGTCAAAAATCAACTTATTCTTTGAGTGGGGGAGGAGAAACTTAATTTATAAGTCAAAAATCAGCTTATGTTTACAATTATAAGCTATAAGTTGTTAAGCTATAAGCTATAATCACTTTCTCACAGCTATACCAAACGGGGCCATAGAATTTGTATTCCTTTTTTTTTTTCCCAAGTTATTTTACACAAATTTATACAATTTTTTATTTTTTTTTCTCTCCAAAAGTTGTCTTACAACTTATATGCATAATTCCAGTTCAAAAACTTATATACATAAGTTATTTATTTTTCTAGATTATTTTATGACTTTGTGTTGACTTTTCAAGTAGTTACCAATCAATATTTATTTATTTTTTTCTTTGATTGAATTAAAAAAAAAATGTGTTCTGGATTTTTGTAGTATATAATATATATATATATATAATTTTAATATCCACCAATAGTTCGTATAAGAAATTGAGTTAATCAACCAAACTACTATGAAATAATGAACCAGCTCTATCACTGCAACAACTGCATCAAATCCATCGGACAATTAACTCAACGTCTATGAAAAATAGATAAACAGTGACCCATATTTATGGGACAAAGAAATTCAAGAAATAAATATATAATATGTATTTTGTTTGTTTGTATAAATTCTGTAATTCTTTAATAGTTTTTTGTTTCTTCTTTATGTTGCAAAAATAAAATAAAATAAAAAACTCTATTTTCATTTTCTTCATTACGTTGATTAAAAAGATACAAAAAAATAAAATTAACTGTACAGATTTTGTGTATATATTATCTTTGTGAGTATATTTTTATTTTCTTTGTTTATAGATTTTGTGCACACATATATTAGATGCTTTCTACATAGTATAGATAGATGCCAATTTTACAATACAAACTTGAATTTAAATTACATAGGTTATCATTCTAAGTATAAATTTATTTTTTTTATATAAATTTTATTGTATACATTTTAAATATATAAAAAAAATTTAGAAACTTTTGGAATATATTGAAATTTAAAAATATTCTGAATATTTAAGAATACAAAGTCATAATTTTTTGGAATGTATTCTTTCTATCTTATTTATTTATTTATTTATTTTTAAAGTTAGGCAAACTATTTTTCAATTTCTAAATTGTTTCTAAAAAAGTAGTATTCCAAACTTTAAAAAATAAAATAAAAATTGCACACACAAAAAATAAAAATAAAAATAAAAGTGAGGATGTTCTTATACATTTTTTGAAACACAAATAATAATAATAAACAAAAAAATCACTTAATTCTTGGATGAATGAGAATAGTAAGTTAAAAATATATTTTAAAAGTTTATTTATTTTAGAAAAAAGAATGACAAAGAAATAGATATTCAGAATATTTTTAAATTTCAATATATTCCAAAAGTTTCATTATATTATCAAGTTCCTTTGGAAAAAAATTTGACTATTATTTTACTTCGTTTATATCAAAAACAATTCAATGTAATTGTTTATATTTCTTTGGGTATATCAAATCTATTTAACTATAAATATTCTAAGAATCTTAGATTTATAATTTTTAAAAAGAGTACTATTTTTTTAAGAATTACTAATTTATTTTGTTTACATCAAAATTGTAATTGTTTTCTATTTTTTTTTTAAATAAGTTTGTAATGTATAATTATTTTGGGTCATGCTTAAGTGTGCAACCCCCTTAAGGTTGCACACCATATGCAACCCAATTGTTAGCCGTTAGATTACAATAATTGATCAAGACCATTGAATTGTTTAATCGTGAAAAAGTTGAAACCGGGGCAACCGATATAACCCAATACATATAAATGTGTAAATGCAAAATGGAATGGTGTAAGTGCCTTGCATACACACATGAGAAAAGTTCAATTATTTTTTTGTAAAGTAATATTTTTTTTTTAATTTACACATAACCCACCGCTAGTAAATAAATAAATACTGTTTAAAAAATAAACAAACAAAAACACGTGACAAAGCTGAAAGCACAACTCTTCTAATAAGGGGCAGTGCAGTTATTTCAGCATCTTGAAAATTTCGCGGGTAACCCGGTCCCTTCGCATTTCGAAAGCCTATAATTACTGTCATCTGATAGAGAGTTGGTCACAATCAAACTCTCTCAATTCAGTTACGGGTGGGGGGTGAGGGTGAGGGTGAGGGTGAGAGTGAGAGTGAGGAAGTTTTAGAGAGAGAGAGAGAGGAAGTCTCTCATCATACGCACAAACAAACGCTCACGTTTTGTGTGAGAGAGAGAGATCATGGCGGCATCGGACGGGACTGAATTCTTCGAATTGGAAGTGGAAAGCGGAATCGACTGTTTCTCGAGAGCGTCGAATGCAGAGTCCGTGAGGGAAGATGAAGATGAGCTTCTTTGGGCGGCTCTGTCGAGGTTGCCGTCGCAGAAGCAGACGAACTTCGCGTTGTTGCGACGGACGGTGTCGAAATTGGACGGCGGGGAAGAGAGGTCCGAGGCAATCGACGTCAGGAAACTAGACCGCTTCAATCGCGAACTCGTTGTCAAGAGGGCATTGGCAACCACAGAGCAAGACAATTACAAGCTTCTCTCCGCCATCAAAGAACGCCTCGATAGGTAATCGCAATACACGATCTCTCTCTCTCTCTCTCTCTCTGCATATACATACATACATACATGTATACGTACATATATATATATATATATATGTATGTATATGTGTGTGTGTGCGCCTCTCAATGGACAAGAAACCAAAAAATCCCGACCCTTGGGAGGGACCAGATATTAGCATTTTCCTTCAATTTTTGCTGATAAATTTGTGTAAAATTTGCATCATGTAACAGAGTTGGAATAGAGGTTCCAAAAGTTGAAGTTAGGTTTGAGAATCTGAATATCACAGCCAATGTTCAAGTCGGCTCCAGAGCTTTGCCTACTCTGATCAATAATGTTCGTGACCAAATGGAGGTAGAGCATTTTCTCTAGTTCTCTCTATTTTTTCTTTTTGTCAAATTGATTTGGTCAAATTAAATGACTAACTGGTTTTTTCAGAGGCTTCTTGTTTTGTTTCCTAGGCCTCAGTACCTTTCCCCATCTAAAAAAATAAATACATGACTAACTGGTTTCAATTGAATGCAGCGTGTCTTAACTGGTTTGCATATATTTCGTCCAAATAGACATCGTTTAACCATCTTGAACAACATCAGTGGCTTTGTGAAACCAGGGAGGTAATAGACTTCTTCTCTCTTATATAATAGAGAATAGATAAATAGATCATTTTATTTTTTTTTACGTATAGTAAAAGTAAAACACATATTACACTTAATATTCATTTCCACTTTTATAGTGATCTATCATTTTAGATCGTTTAATTCTCATCACTTATCAAACATTATGAGTATCATTTTTCACTTTTGTTATCTATCATTTTATATATATTTTAATTATCATCACTTGTCAATCACTATATCCCCAATATGATGTTCCATCCCAAGACTGACTTGTGGAGTATGGGACTCAAATCAATTGGTTTTTTTTTTTTTGTGATTTGAAAGTGGGTTAGACTTAAATTCACAATTGTCAATTTTATTTATCAAAAAAAAAAAATTATATTGTCAATTTAAGTTATTCAAATTTAGTTAATACAACGTAAGGACAAGTCCATTTATTGTTAATTGATTTTGAATTTTATACTTTAACATGATATCAGAGTTGGATCTTAGGTAACCTCTTATATCATATACATCATGTTGTACAAACATGTGGGAGGGAGTGTTAAACTTCAACCTACATCGCTAATCAAAACCACCTAAATTTAGTTAATATAATGCAAGAGCCTCCCTATTTATTGCCAATTGATTTTAAGTTGGATGTTTTAGTAATTTGTATTACAAAAAATGGTAGTATATTGCAAGTTGAATTATAGAAGCAATCAGCTTGCTTGTTTTCTCTTTTCAGAAAATACTTTTTAAAAAATTCTACTCACTTATTTTTCGTGTTTTTTTGTTTTTATTGATTTTTTTTTAATATTTTAAGCATTTTTTTTACTTTTTAGACACACTTAACATAAATACACATAAAAAGTAAAAAAATTGTAAAAAAAATCTTTTAAAAATTCACTAAATACCAAAAATACAAAAAAAATACAAGAATTCAGTACATTTTTTTGTATTTCTATGTATTTATTAATTTTTAAAAATATTTTTTCATAAATTTTTTACTTGTTAGATACACCTAACTAAGGTGCTTCTAAAAAAGTAAAAAAAATGTTTAAAATTAAAAAAATATACACTAAAAACAAAAGAATTCGAAAATAAAAAAATTCAGTTTTCAAAAAACTTAATCCAAAAAACTCAAACAAAACACACTGAATAATACTTTTTATTTTTAGTTTTTTTTTTTTGTATATATAATTCTTTTTTACTATACTTTTGTGCTTCATATGAGATGGAATGTGGAACCAAGAGTTTGCAATAGTGTTTCAAAACTATTTATTAGAGATTTCCCTTAAAATTGCATGGGTTTTGATTTTTCATTTTGAAAACAAATTTCTCACAAAGGCAATTTCTCATTCAAAGAAGAACAATTATTTAGTAAAACCAATTTTGGGAATTGATTTTTTTTAATTTATTATTTTTTAAAAAAAGTGTCTAAAAAAATAGAGAGATGATATGATCCAAATAAGTCAATAAATTAACTTTTTTTCTTAATTGTCAAAATATGCCTAATATTAGATCTATATTTTAGATGGTATATGCTCTTTTCAATTGTATAAGATTATTATGCAATTATTTTTTCTTACTTTTTCTCCTCTGTTAAAGAGAATATACTCCATTGTTTTACTATTAGGTGGCTGTCTACGTGTATTCTCATCTTTGCCAAAAAGTTGTTATTTGTTGGACCACCCGTGCAATGTATGTGCTTCATTCATGTGGGGTGTTAACTGTTAACATCTTTGAAAGAGCCAACAAAGTAGAAGTTCTTGGTTGACTTAAACTGTTAACTGAGGTTTGGACCTATAATTCACCTAAAAATGTTAGAAATGTTAAAAGTTTTATTAAAATTTTTATCAAATATATCACATAGGTGTGAGACCTACCTAGAACCCATATCATGTGGGGTCTCACACTCATAAAAAAACATTTGGTAAAAATTTTAACCAAACTTTTAAGATTTCTACCAATACTCTAATTCATCACCTAAATCATGAAACTGTGCACGGATGTTATGAGGTGAATTTATACTTCACATAGCACCTTCCCAGATTTTAGAGGATCTTTTTTATAACTAGATTTTAGAGGCTTGATAGAGGCTTAGTCACATGACTCAGGTGCACTTGCTCCAATGCCCATATTGACATCTCTACACACTCAAGCACATTACCCAAAAAAAATAAACATAAAAATAAAAAATAAATTATAAATGAGATTTTTAATGAAAAATTAAAAATCAAATGGTAAGCTTGTGTTTGAAAAATTATGTTCAATTATAGTGTTATTCAACTCTTAAATTTTATCTAGTTTAGTGTCAAAATTATAAAAAAAAAATTCAATCCACAAATCTAAAATACTTGGAGTATATAAAATATTTTTCGCTCTTATTTTTAGTGTATTTTCCCTCTGTCTTATTATTTTTTCGAATGCTTTGTGAAGCCATTTAACATAAAAGATTTTTGGGTTTTGCCAGGATGACTCTACTTCTGGGACCTCCGGGTTCAGGGAAATCCACATTGTTGTTGGCTCTAGCAGGAAAACTAGATCATGCCTTAAAGGTAGTACAATTTTGTTCACGAGTGCAACCCCCGTTTGATATCTGTGATAAGAGCATCTATCATAAAATAATTAAAAATATGGGTTATAGTGTATTATATGACAAAAAATAATACAATGAGATCTAATTTTTGTGTGATAATATTTGTTAGTTTAATGCGAGTTATACAATGGAGAGATGTTAAAGTGTTTGGTAAGTAACGTGTCAAGTAAATAATATAATACAATATAATACATCTATAGAAAATATTTGAGATCCCTAAAATAACTACACTAATTAGATATGGTATTAAAAGTGTTAATTTAAAATTTGTTACATAGTTAACTTTATATGGCCCAACTCAATTATCACATTATTGTAAGTCTAAATTTAAAAATCTTTAGCATTTTTCACTTAATAATTAGTTTGATAGTTCTATTAAGAGCTCCATTTCAGGCCATCATTGGCTAAATTTTTAAAGCATGACACTAACACACTAACACACCCATTGTGGATGTTGTAAGGGGTGGGTTTGGAGCGGTAATTCAGTGAATTACACATAATTCATGTTTAGTTGTGAAAAATAACTTCAGATTAACGATCCCATTCTATTATGAATTCTTCAAAATAAGGGATTATAATTAGTAAAGCATTTCAACGAACACTTTAAAACAAATTTGTTTGCTTTTGTAATTAATTTCATTATATCTTATTCTCATAATACATTAATTACCGGAATAATTATTTTAACAAAATTCTTTTAGACTAGTTACATTTAAGGACCCTTAGGAGGCTCGTTAAACAAATTTATATGAATAGGTAAGTAAAATAAAAAATAGCATTAGAGGATAAAGATGAAAAATTGATTAAATAAAATAAAGAATGTACATTTTTTTATACTTTTAAGTAGTAAAAAATGAAAAGTAACATTGTCAAATAAATTAAATGGCTTTGATAGTTCTACCTTTGCCATCCCCCCAGCCTCCAGCATAATCCCACTAAACTTGACTATTTTTGTGGCTTTGTTGCAACTCATATCTACATGGGATAGGGTTAACATGTCTCTTCATCTCTTGTCCTCTTGCTCAATTTATCCGATTAGAAGCTGTTGTCCAAAATAAAATTGTCCTTCAATACCGTTGTGTCCCTTGTTAGCAGATTCACCTTTTGCAATTCTTAACGAGATGGAAATTAGAGAGAAGCTATTGGGGCATGAGAGAGAGGGAAAGGCGGGAAACAGAATTTTACAGTTTGCCCTTCTTCTTACTATACAAGTGGGGCAATAGAAAGCTATAATTATTTGGAATTTGAGGATTTTTTTTTTTGTGGGAAATTTGAGGATTTATTAAGTGGGTTTTAAGTAGTTGTCTTGTCATTCATGGAAGAGCCGGCAAAACTTTTAACCTGATTTCACACATAAGAGGGGAGAGGAAACAGCAGCCATGTAACACATTTAAATTTTAATCTGACACCTCAAAATTGGTCTTTCATCATTTGCACGAAGCTGCTGTGCTCTATAGAAAGTGATGCATGAAGTTAATGGTTTAGAATTGTTAGGTTAGACTTCTTTTTATCTACAGCTGAAACTTGACCTTTTCTATAAGGGGGGTTCTCCTTTTTCGGGTTCCACTTAATGCATGACAGAACATTGGTTTTAATCTGCTTTCTCTTAGTACTTCTTTCCAAAGATGGAGGATAGTATGCTTTCTCCTTCAAAAATAGCAAAAAGAATAACAGAATATAGTGCGCTTCCAATGAAATTTATGCTTATTTTGGAAATCTATTTCTTGGATTACTATTGTAATGCTTGGTTTCAGCAAACTGGGAATATTACATACAATGGCCATAAGCTTGATGATTTCTGCGTTAAGAGGACTTCTGCTTACATAAGTCAAACAGATAATCACATCGCAGAACTAACTGTTAGAGAAACTTTAGATTTCGCTGCTAGATGTCAAGGTGCAGATGAAGGCTTTTCAGGTTTGTTTGCTCCAATTCATAACCAAAAATTTATCCAGCATGTATTTGTCTTGTGGTTCAATGGTTTGCAATTAGATTTTGCTATGACTCTATTGTCTCATATCAACATTGCAGTAAATAAAGAATCTTCTTCCTAACCAAATATCTCATCAACAAGCAAATGTTGGTCCCTTGGCTTGGTAAATTTAGGATTGTCCTCACCACATTTAATTAACTGAGCCTTATTTGTTTCTGGAGTAATGCTAGAGACCCACAATTTGGATCCCTAAAATTACCTACAATGATGTGGCAAGAGGAGTAGACCCTACAAATGGCCTCGTTTGGCATGCAACAATTTTAGCTTAAAAGCCAAAAAGTTACTAAAAGACTAAAAAGCTTATAGCTTATACCAAAAAGTCAAAGATTCCATTTTCTTTCTACTTTTTGCACATATTTTCGTAAAAAATCAAAAGTCATTCCAAACATACTAGTTTTTTTTTTCCATTATATTTTAGCTAAAAAGCCAAAAAGTTACTAAAAAAGTCTGTTCCCAAACGAGACCAAGCTAAGTGTATGACAAATTAAAAGTTGGTCTTAAACATTTCCTTGTTTCTGCAAGTCATTAGCATCTTGTTAATCAGTCATTAGCATATAGGGTCTTGTTAATCAATCACTGTGCCATATTGACCTCTATGGAGGGGGGCTGAGAGAGAGAGAGAGAGCACTTGCAAATGTGGAGACTTGAACCCAAGATCTCCCCCAACCTAAGCTTTGATACCTTGTTAAGTCACAAATTGACCCAAAAGCTTGAGTTGCTAGGAAATGGGTCCAACAATGTATATCAAGCTATCCAACAGTATGACCAAGACAAAATTAAGTCTTTGTAAGAAAGGCATTGAAGGCAATGTTTTCAACTGCTTGTTGGTCTCCACATGATACATTGTATGACCAGGACAAAATTTGGAAATTTATAATGTAAGTGCATTTGAAGGAGTGCAATTGCATGGCTTATCCCATAATTCATCAAGTATTGAATCCCTTCTTTATTTGTAGGGTATATGAACGATCTTACTCGTTTAGAGAAGGAAAGGAATATACGTCCAAGTCCAGAAATAGATGCTTTTATGAAGGTTGTAGTTTTTGAACTTTTATCTCTTGTCAAATTTTTTTTTTTGGGTGAATACTTGTCAATTTTCTATGGCTACTTTTTTATTGCACAATGTAGTTTACTATTTGTTGTATTCATCCATATTATTTTATCCAAAAAATTGTTCAGGCATCATCTGTTGGTGGTAGAAAGCATAGTGTCTCAACAGATTATGTCTTGAAAATGCTTGGCCTTGATGTCTGTTCAGAGACTCTTGTTGGTAACGATATGCTTAGGGGTATTTCAGGAGGCCAAAGAAAGAGAGTAACTACAGGTTTCTCTCTCTCTCTCTCTCCATTATAATGTGTTTATTGGTGAACTGTTTGACTTGACGCTACTTATCTGTTCACACTGTTTAATGCTGTTAAATATGCATGATTGGCTCCTATACCCCCTGCAGTCAAGGAGCATTTTGGGACTTTTTGTTTAGTTAATGGGAAGCTTAAAGAAATGGAAATGTTAACAGAATGCGCTCAGCATGAAGATATATGGTTGTAGAGCTATGGTTGTTCGGGATGCTGATATTAAATAAGAAATAGTGCAGCAATAGTCATGCAAAAATTTTGTTTCCAATGGAAAACAGGACACTAAAAGAGCATGACTAGTATGTTGACATCTGGAAAACTGTCTTTGGAATCTGAATGCTATTCAAGAATTGCAAATGTGTGTAAACGTCTATTTTAGCATAATCAATAAGCTGAATCAAGTTATGTCTGGTTTGTCCAGTTTGGTCACAAATGCCATCTATATTGTGTTTTTTCTTCTTGCATCTAAGTTTCCAGAAAACCATCATATCACAAGGTTGCTGGGTCATAGTTTTAAAGCAAACGGGAATTCTTGGATGGAATTTAACTTGTTGACTTGATTTATTTTAGGGGACTTTTTGCAAACTAAGGTCCCTTCCGAGCAGTAAATATAGATCAAGAAGTCAACAAAATAGATCTAGGCCATGGCCTGAATAAAATCTTTATAGCAATCTTACCTTCTTTTAAAGTATATGGATATTAGAAAGAAATGGCAGTGTGACCTTAATTTTAACATTTTAGTTTTGCTTGTGCAGTGGATGGCGTACATAGAATTTTGAGCTTCCTTTTAATAATTGTTAGAATATATGGTTTTGTTTTGGGTGAACCTATGTGAACTGCTCCTTAATGGAGAGGAAAACCACATGGTATGAGTTCTGAAAAGTCTTCTAAGTACATCAGAATGTGGACATAAGCTGCAACCTAAGGTTTGGGGCCCAAGTATTTATAAGTGCAACTTCAATATCTATTAAAGAAAAAGTTAGCAAGACAAGATAGTTTAACAACTTCTTGTAATCTTTCTATTTGTATTGGTTTTGTTATAAAAGTGACACAGCAATCTAATTGCTGAAATTCTTGACAGTCTCATGATCTCAAGGCCTATTTTAAAGTGTGCGCAGGCATGTGCATGCACCCAATAGTATTTTGCATTGATTGCTGACACAACGTTGCTATTGTTAGCAAAAAAGAAAATTCTTGAATTTAAGAATAAAAACATACATATAATTTCTCTGAATTTTGTGAAATGGAATTGCTAAGAAAAAAACATACAGGGATCTCAAACTTTGAAAGGTGTTTTATAGAGATCACCTGTCACAACCAGGATTATGTTTTGCCATATGGTTCTACTTTTTCAGTTTTCTTTTATTTTTCTCTATTTCATTTTTCATTTTGATGTTTGCAATTGCAATTATTATTCATGCTGATACTTACAACAGAATATCATTTAGGTGCGTGGCCTCTCCTATATAGTTTCTTCTGGAGTGTGATTTGTATTTGTTCTCTGTTCCTTTATTGCTTTTGGTTTTGTATGAAACTTTTCTCTGTATTACACTTCCTTTGTTACTGTTATCTTTTGCATCTATATTCATTCTTTTTCCTCCCATATAATTTAGCTCAGTTTGTATTTATGTTGTTGTCCCTGTTACTATGGATCGGAGTTTCAACTCCCAATGTGGATGCTCACATGGTGATCATAGGGGAGTAGCATCCAAATTTAATAAGTTTGTTCCCTTGTATGCTTAGACTGCAGAAGAAATTTTATAAGGTTGGCTTTGTCAGATTGTTTCATCAAATAATATCAGTTGACTGTGTTATACTCGCGTAGGAGAAATGATTGTTGGCCCAAGAAAAACCCTTTTTATGGATGAAATATCCACTGGACTCGATAGCTCTACGACATACCAAATTGTCAAATGCATACGGAATTTTGTTCACCAAATGGAAGCCACAGTTTTAATGGCTCTTCTTCAGCCTGCGCCTGAGACATTTGATCTGTTCGATGATCTGGTATTATTATCAGATGGATACTTGGTGTATCATGGCCCTCGAGAAGAAGTCTTAGAGTTCTTTGAGTCATTAGGTTTTCGGTTGCCACCCCGTAAGGGAGTTGCAGATTTCCTTCAAGAGGTAGTTCTTTTTTTATGAGAATACTTCATTTTGGATGTTTTTCTAGCTTCTGACTTGTCTTATTTTATTTCTAGGTGACTTCTAGAAAGGATCAAGCACAATACTGGGCTGATGCTTCAAAACCGTATGTATTCCTTCCTGTTTCAGAAATCGCAGAAGCATTTAGAAATTCCAAGTACGGAAGGTCTTTGGAGTCCTCTCTTTCTGTTCCGTATGATAAATCCAAGAATCATCCGTCAGCTCTGTGCAAGAAAAAGTTTTCTGTATCAAAGAGGGAGCTTTTCCGGACATGCTTTTCACGAGAATTGCTTCTGATTAGTAGGCATCGCTTTCTTTATACTTTTAGAACTTGCCAGGTATGTATGTTTTGCCTTGCACTTCTTTGATTTCAGGCCCTTTTTAAATAAAATAAAATAAAATAAAAAATAGACCAGGCATTATTATTCAATGTGACGCGTTAATACATAAGTTATACTACGTCTCAGCTTTAGATTTGAGAATAGTCAGTTGCAAACAAGGTATTAGATTAGTTGTATCCTTTTTGAAATTGAACAACTTGCTTACAATTACAATATGTGAATGTGCTTGGCCCTCCAATAAGGGGAGTCTTGCCTTATAGAAGGGAGCATGTTTGTCATATAAATACTAAAGTGACAGCTCTATTAGCTTAAGCTCATACGTTGATTACCAGCTGACATATTACTGGAGCAAGGGAGGGGCTCTGCTAAAATCTTGTTGCCTCCTCCACAATGTATGATAGGTTGATGTGGAGAATTCTTATGGCAATCTATTGAGGCACTCTCCATATGCTCTTTACTATGGGCTCGGGTATGTACTTCAACTCCACCGCCTCAACCCCTCATGTAGCATCCTGAGACATTGATCCTGCCTATGTCAGGTAAAGGACCTTGGAAGGGATTCCTCAAGATGCATTCCCCCACTGTGAAACTTATACATTGGTTGATTTGTGTGTGTGTGTGTGAGAGGGAGAGAGAGAGAGCCACATGCTTTCAGGCACATAGCCTCTCCCGGACAATGACACTTGTGTTTTTATAACCAACAACACGTGCACTTTGTTGTGACGAAAAAAAAGATTATTTGGAAATACGACAATGTTTTTTTACTATGTTTGTCTCCACCATAGCTGAGGCTGCTTCACTAATGATGTGTTACACCCAGCAGAGACTACTTCACTTACGCTCAGCTGCTCCTTTTCGTGTACTTGCCTCATCAGGTGTCATCTGCTGGCCTGACCCTACTATATATAGAATACCTTTTCCTTTCTCTAATGTAGGTGTAAATCCAATCCGTAGAAATTCTAGTCTTATTTTCTCCCAAGCCTCCAATATTCCCACTCTCACTCTTTGTTGTTTATGTCTGTCTGTGATTACAAGCATGTCAACAAGCTCGCCTAGAGCTATCATTTAATTACATATATCCCCAGTTTTTTGTTGCTAACTTCAGGATTTTTTCCACATTATTTTATCTAGAATCGTATTTTTTATAGGACTTATAGTTCTGTTCACTATATGTTGGAAACATATTGATCTTGTGTCCTAGTGTACTTGCTTTCCATAAATTATAAAATCAGTTTCTAGATCTTGGACAATGAAAGTAATGTAGAAAATTACCTAGCTGTATCTATGGGAAGACATATGTCCTATATGGCCGTGATTTACTTGTGAACAAAAACAAAAGCTCAGTGAGATACTGAAAGGATGTAGCAATGATTTTTTACAGTAAGAAAAGCTCATTAAGATTGATATTGCAAAAACAATCTTAGTGAGTTTAGTGTGCTTGTGAACAAAAACAAAGATAGGAAATGCAAATTGTTGCTAAGCTAATTATAAGAAAGGATGCAGCATCTTTCATGATTTTTTATGCAAATCCTACCCTTTATGTTACACAAACTATCAAACAAATGATACAGAAACTTCAAGGCTCTAAACAGTTGTTTACCACTTTCTGTCATTCAATATATAGTTTTTGACAGTTATAATTCGTTTCTCAGTTATTTATGCTACTTTTCTGTTTTTGCTTACTATTGTGTCTAAGCATGTGATCAACAATTCTTTTTTATTCCTCTCAAAGAAAACCAGAATCAATTACCTTTTCTTCTGGGTACTTTAGCCAGACAGAAGACATGGTCCTCTTCTAAGTTAATAGATATTATACAAATCTCCAGAGTGCATAGGACCAGCATGTTATAGCGTGCATTTTGTCTTTCTGGAATTCATTTGTAGTGTGTTTTAATATTTTGCATGCCATATTTTACAGGTTGCATTTGTAGGGTTTGTAACATGCACAGTATTTTTGCGAACAAGGATACATCCTACAGATGAGATAAATGGCAACTTGTATCTTTCTTGCCTGTTTTTTGGGCTGGTGCATATGATGTTCAATGGATTTTCTGAGCTGCCTCTTATGATATTTCGACTTCCAGTTTTTTACAAGCAAAGAGATAATTTCTTTCATCCTTCATGGACTTGGTCTGTTGCTAGTTGGATTCTACGTGTACCTTACTCTGTCATTGAAGCTGTTGTATGGTCTTGTGTTGTGTACTACAGTGTTGGTTTTGCACCTGGTGCTGGGAGGTATCTCCTGTTTGGTCACCGTAACCTTGGAGCTGTTTATCTAAATTTTTTTGAATAAAAGAAAAGTTTATCTATATTTTCTTCATTCTCATCATCAGCTTTCAAATGTTTCAGGTTTTTTCGCTATATGTTCTTACTTTTTTCAGTACACCAAATGGCTCTGGGTCTCTTCCGGACGATGGCTTCTCTTGCACGTGACATGATCATTGCCAATACATTTGGATCTGCTTCATTGCTAGTTATATTCTTGTTGGGTGGTTTCATCCTTCCAAAAGGTAGGCTTCTGTAGTTTTCATCAGATATAATGTTCAAGTTTGTTACCTTTAGTTGACTGAGTTCCTCTTATTTCAGCAATGATCAAGCCATGGTGGGTTTGGGCATTTTGGTTGTCTCCATTATCCTATGGGCAACGTGGAATTTCTGTTAATGAATTTACTGCTACAAGATGGATGAAGGTGTGCTTCTAGGACCCAGGACAACTGGGCATACTTTAGTCGGCACTATGTTACTGCATCTAATACTAAAATTAACAATACCTGTGGGGATTACTTTTTATCATGGATGGCTTCTGAATCAAACTAACAAGCTGTTATGTTGCAGAGGTCTGCCTTCGGAAACACTACAGTTGGATATAATGTTCTCCATTCACATGATCTACCCAGTGATGGTTACTGGTATTGGCTTGGAGTTGGCGTTTTATTATTTTATGCTGTATTCTTCAATGTAGTGGTGACTTTGGCCTTGGCACGTCTCAACCGTATGTCTCAGACACTTTTTGTGTTTGTATTTTGTTATAGTGCTATCACGCAGACTGTGTGGAACGTACATGCATGTAAAGCTTTAATGACTGAATTTCTTCTGTTTTCTCCATCAGCTATCAAAAAAGCCCAAGCATTGATTCCAAGTAGCATCACAGAAGAGAATTCGGCTACGGATGGTGGTCAGACATTCTTCTTTTGCACTAAAAATTATTTATTTTTGTTTTGGTTGCTTTATTGGACCATTCTCCACCAATACTTTTTCCACATGTGCTGCACATGATTGGGCAGGTAGCAACCAGGATTCTGAATCAAGGCCAGTTACTGTCAAGGATGGGGCCAAGCAAAAGGGAATGATTCTCCCATTTCAACCCTTAACGATGACTTTCCATAATGTCAATTACTTTGTTGACATGCCAAAGGTGTGGTTTACAGGAAGTTTTTTCATTTCTCTGGATTTATTTATTTATTTATATTTTTAAGTCAATTATAATCATCTGTCTGGGTTCTCAGGAAATGAGTTTGAAAGGTATACCAGAAAAGAAGTTGCAACTGTTATCAAACGTGAGTGGAGTATTCTCACCAGGCGTTCTTACAGCATTAGTTGGGTCAAGTGGAGCTGGAAAGACCACTTTGATGGATGTACTTGCTGGTAGGAAGACTGGTGGATACATTGAAGGGGACATTAGGATCTCAGGTTACCAAAAGGAACAGAGTACTTTTGCAAGAATTTCTGGATACGTTGAACAAAATGATATACATTCCCCTCAAGTAACAGTTTTGGAGTCTCTCTTGTTTTCTTCTTGCCTTCGCCTTCCCAAGGATGTGAACAAAGAAAAAAGAAATGTTAGTTTCCACCAAAGTCTAAACACTTTCCCATTCATGTTTGTTCAGTTGTTTTATTGTATTCCATAAAATAGTTCACTGCCATGTTCTGCAGGAATTCGTAGAAGAAGTGATGAAATTGGTGGAGCTTGAAACTCTGAGGTATGCTTTGGTGGGTTTGCCTGGTAGCACAGGCTTATCTACAGAGCAAAGAAAACGATTAACAATTGCAGTCGAGCTTGTGGCAAATCCTTCCATAATTTTTATGGATGAACCTACATCTGGACTTGATGCAAGAGCTGCAGCCATTGTAATGCGAACTGTTCGTAATACTGTTGACACTGGAAGAACTGTGGTTTGCACCATACATCAACCAAGCATTGATATATTTGAAGCATTTGATGAGGTTGGTCAAGACATATTTTTTGATATGTAAAAGTTCCAATGCTGTGTAAAATATTTGTTCGTTTTCAACAACTGTGTCATCATTTGGTTCAATGCACAGCTACTTCTTATGAAACGAGGGGGGCGGGTAATCTATGGTGGCAAGCTTGGTGAGAAGTCACAAACTATGACAAATTATTTTCAGGTATGTATCCCTGTTTGCTTTTATTCAACCATAATTGCCCATCAAATGCTTGCCTGCTGTGAAGGGAACATTTGTTGACATTTCTTTTATACTGCAACTATTTTCTTTTCAACACTGAAGCTTCACTTTTGAATTTACGAATATAAAATCAGTAGACTGACTGCATTATATGTGTCAATGGTGCATCCTTGTACCCATATTCACCTTTGGGATACATATCCCAATATTCTAAAATTTAAGTTTATAACTCTTCAACATGCACCTGCACCCCATTCTCATACCCGAGTCCATGTAACAGATTTTTAGTCAACTTCAAGAAGTATACGATTCATCAATAAGACAAGTATCCCTACTTTTCCACTGCACAGTATTTTTCTGTTTTACACAATTTTCACTAGCAGCTACTCCATATATGGATTTTATGTTGATTGAACTACACCTGTGGGTGCAAACCTTCAGGTTTCCTAATAGTTGCTTTTGGCTTTGTAGTTGTTATTTGTTAAAATATTGGGAATTTTACTCTTCAAAACATAAATGCGTGATCAATCTTTCATGGTTTGTTATCAATCAATTAGTTGATCTTCATGATATTTCCATTGTGTAGGGGATTGATGGAGTCCCTCCCATTTCCAGTGGCTACAATCCAGCAACCTGGATGCTTGAGATCAGTACACCTGCTGCTGAAGAGAGAATTGGTCAGGACTTTGCAGAGATATACCAATGTTCTCAACAGTTTAGGTGATCTCTATTGATGTTTGTGTTACTAGCATTACAGTCTAAAACAGGACTGATGATATTTTATTATATTTGATAATTAAATTTCATGTTTATTCTTTGTTATACAATCCAGGGGGGTTGAAGCTTCAATTGATAGTATGAGCATTCCACCTCCTAACTCAGAACCTTTAAAATTTGATTCCGCATTTTCTCAAGATACATTTTCCCAATTTAGATATTGCCTCTGGAAGCAAAACCTTGTATATTGGAGAAGTCCATCTTACAATGTCGTGAGAATATTCTTTACTACATTGAGTGGACTGATACTTGGCTCAGTATTTTGGGGCATGGGTTCTAAAAGGTAATTTATTATTTCTTCTAGTTGTTAAATGAAATTTAACTATATTGTTCACACACTTTGCTTTGTTTCAGCTGTCTATCTCTATTGTGTGATTTCTTGCTTTTGAAATCTAATTTTGAACAATGACCCTTCACTTGTTTCTTTCCCAATTGATTGGGACACCAGGTTTGGTATGGTTTGGTTTATCCTCTGTTCATTTCTTATATGTAAATTCATATCTGATTAAATCATTCAGCCTCTTAAGACTTAAGAGTGAGAAATTCTGAGAGAAACTGATTGTATCAATCACTTGATATGACTGAGTCAGTGCTAGCTGAATTTTACATCTTCGAATAAAATGGGTCAATGCTGTGAGAAAAGACATGATAGCCTATGCTGAACTTGAAATTTCTTTAATAGGCTTTCTTGAGGATGGGCTGTTTCAAAATCTAGAACCAGCTTTGGCAAATGATGAGTTTATCATTAGTCTCACAAATGTTGGGCTCAGCGGTCTTTTCTTTGGATATGGATCTTTGTTATAAACGTGGATAATGTTGCCCTGGCCTTCTACGGCAGCTACCTTGTAATTATTTGTTAGAATTGATGGAGATGCCAGACATTATTTTTATTGATTTTCTCGTCTGCTGAACTGTTAGAACTGTGGTGTTCAAAGTGTTACCCTATATATATTTTGAATCTTGTGCAGGGACTCAACTCAGAACTTATATGTTGTCCTGGGAGCTCTTTATGCTTCATGCTTGTTTGTTGGAGTCAGTAATGCTTCCTCAGTACAACCAATAGTTTCAATTGAGAGAACTGTATTCTACAGAGAGAGAGCAGCTGGAATGTACTCTGCATTTCCTTATGCTGCTGCCCAGGTGGGTATCTTGACAATAGAAATATGTTTAAATTGTCTGGATTGGCTGCATATCACTATCATGGCAGTACCAATGAGCTTTATTGTTTAGGAATTCCTTGCTGAGAGCTTAATAGATCTAGTTTATCTGGCCTATTTATAGTGATCCTAGAAATGAAAGGAAATTATATTTTATCATAATACAAGATGTCAATGAAGACTCCTAGTACAACATGGACTCTTCTATTTCCCCCAGCATACCTATGTCCATTAGACATGACAAAGGTAAACGTATGGGATATGTGTCCAACTATCGTACACAAATTAAAAACTTAGATCTTTTAATTTTTTTGATGTGTAGAAGATGAAATCCCCCTTTTCCCCTAAATCCCATAGTTAAATTCAAATGTTTCGGACATGCTCAACAGAAACATGGGAAACATCAACCGATCAAACCTTGGTTCTTGGCTAATTGCTCGCTGACCAGAAATTTTTTCTTGATTTCCATTTCAACATACCTGTAGCTAACTTTTGGACACATGCCCTTACATCCTAAGATTAAGATATAGGGAGATCGGACAGTTGGGCATACACCTACACTCAACATTCATACCCCAAGTCCATGTAACATAAATTCTTGGATGTCATACTATAGACCCAGTCAAGTCTTTCTGAAAGCTTGAATGCCATCTGCACTTGCTAAAATGTAATCATTGCCAAATTTGAAGGAAAAATGTCAAGGCATTTATGGTGTTGTGCCCAAGAACAAAAGTGATTTGCAAATGGCTTTTCCTTGATTTATTATGCAAAAGCACCATATACACTTCAAACAAAATTTGGAAATAACACCAACTACATAAAAAATAAATAAATAAATAAATAACACCAACTACATTTGTTATTAAAACCTAGCCATCGCCAAATTTGAGGGGGAAATGCAAGTTATTAATGAAGTTGTGTCCAAAGATCAAAATAAAGGGGATTGATGTATCTCCTGGATCTATTCTTTTTTAAACACATACAAACAAACTTCAAAAAAAAATTGGAAATTTATTTTCCTATTAAATTTGAACAAGCAAGTAACTTAAAAATAAAAAAAAAAGAAAAAGAAAAAGAACATACATGTTGTGCCCAAGAACAAAAGTGATTTGCGAATGGCTTTTCCTTGATTTATTATGCAAAAGCACCATATAAAGGGGATTGATGTATCTCCTGGATCTATTCTTTTTTAAACACATACAAACAAACTTCAAAAAAAAATTGGAAATTTATTTTCCTATTAAATTTGAACAAGCAAGTAACTTAAAAATAAAAAAAAAAGAAAAAGAAAAAGAACATACAAATAATATCTTCAATTTTCTTGTTAACAGGGCCTAGTGGAGATACCTTACATTGCTGTGCAGACAATACTATTTGCTATAATTACATATTTCATGGTAGACTTTGAAAGGACAGTTGGTAAGATTCTAAGTTCTTCTTTACAATGCTCCTTTATGTATCTTTTATTGTTTATTTTTTAGAATAATCTCCATTTTTATCAATATCATCTTTATAGTTTATAGTTACTTGTTGGATTAAGAAGGAGAATGGATTAAGAAGGAGAATGTATTTCCTTTATGACTATGGATGATTGAGGGTATCCCAACTTCTACTATAAAGTTCTTGATATCTCAAAGGGATATAATTGACATCTCATTTACCATCTAGCTTTTCCATGTTAGAAAGTTACTTAAAACTTTCCTTAGCTTATTTTGTTCCTTGTGCACAATGTTGGTCTATGAAGCACATGTATGGGTACTGATATTGGTACTGGAACCGCATGAGTATGTTGATACGGTAAAATTTTAAAAAAGTAAGGTATTGGTATGGTTTTTTACATGCGTAAAAAAAAAGTTATTTTTAATTTGAAATAATGCACAAATTAGTTAAATGGCTAAGATCCAATCTACAATTCACATTTAAGGCCAAAAGTAAGATATAATACAAACTAAGATTGACGTCATTTTATTAAATAATTAGAAAACTAAAGCTACACTTTAAAATAATGCTAAGCATAAAAAAAAATTCAAATGAAACTAACTTTACCTATGTAAAGAAAATTCTATTCTGGAGGTACATGTTTCGTGTACCTAATAAAAATTAAGAAGAAAAAAATTGAGTACGTGTTTTGTCTACCCAGTACCTCTGGATATGAAAAAAAATAAAGAAAAAAAAAAATGGATTCATGTTTCGTGTACCTAGTATGTATGCAAAAGTACCATGCAAAGTACTAGTGCTTGGTAAGTACCCAATATGGGTACGACTTGTTTGTGCAAGAACCTGTGCTTCATAGATGCTGCTACAAGGCATGGTTTTAAATACTGGTTTGTTTGTCGTGTAGTGGCCTAGTTTACACCAGTTTTTACGCATCCTGGTTTGGATACACACTGGTAGATACCAGTGTGAACAAAAATTGCTGAATACTGGTGTTTCAAAATTTGTACTTCAACTCTACCTGTTTCGCGATAGTTAATGATTCTAGTGTGATGAACCAGTCTTATTTGTTGAATACTGGTGTTTCAAAATTTTAACTTCAACTCTACCTAAATCGCCTGCCGATGTGGGATGAGAGCACAAATTTATAGAGATTGGGTTTTGTAATCTCTCATTGTTTATTCAATGTGGGATTGAAAGAGTTAGGTTTTCCTACTGACAAAACTATGAGGCAGCACATCAATTGATAAAATGTTGCTTGCGTGTTAAGAAAAAAATTCTAATTAGAACTGGAAAACTTACCCAAAAAAAAATATTCTAATTCATTTTTAATTTTGAAATTTGGTGACAACTAATTGATGCTATGTGATTAAAATTTATATAGTCCACATAAATGGGGCCAATTTTTTTTCTTTTATTACACATTTTAAATGTCAACTGATTTGACTGCATGGCATCCAATTTTCATGATTTATCCACTTTTTGTGTCTGTGTAGTGACTAGAAATTACCTGCAGTCAAATTTGTTTAGGTAATCACATTGCAATGAAGTGCAGTCACAATGTGCATACAAAGGCCATGTTTACTAATGTATGGAGCTTAGCTCATTATTTAACTGGTCTGGTTTTTGAATCTTTTGGTTTTATGTCCTCTATATTCTTCGTCACAATTATCCTGATAAGAGAAAAACACAGTAATGTTTCGACTTTTCTTCTAGTTCATCCTTGTACCTACTACCTAGTACATGCATTTTTAATTGTTGTTGGATTATGTACTGTGTATCTGATAATTTTGAAGTGCCTTTTGAGCTGTTAAATAAATTTCTGTATTGCAGGAAAATTCTTCCTCTATCTGTTGTTCATGTTTCTCACTTTTACCTACTTTACCTGCTACGGCATGATGGCTGTTGGTCTTACACCTTCTCAACACTTGGCTGCTGTCATTTCTTCTGCATTTTATTCACTATGGAATCTCCTCTCAGGTTTTCTTATCCCGAAACCAGTAAGTAATACTTTTTCCCATCATGCAATAAGTTGCTTTAAATTCCAGCATTCTGACCTGTGTCCTCTAGTTGTTATGTGCACCCTCTGCAGCTATAATTAGATGTGTGCGAAGTTACTATGCGATGTGCTCAAAGTTAATGGTCCAACCATTATGTATCGAAACTCCAATGGCTCAATGAGCTACTCGTTGTGTCGTAAACTTGGAGTTACATTGTTGTAAGTTTTGGTCTCATGTTTTTGGATTGTAACTCTGATCACATTGCATGGTAACTTCCCGCATATTATGTCTTAACTGAAATGGGTGTGCATCATGCATACCTTTTAGGGAGTGTGTACTACAGACTCACCCCATGACAAAATAATTAAAACATCATTTATTGTTATTAAAATTTTCGTTTGTAAACTCCTATAGATGTTAAGATGAAATTCCTCAGGATGAGTTTGGTTCATTTCTATTTTGTCTTTTCTCTTTTGTTCACAAATTCCTCGACTAATCCAAGATGTAAACATCATCTTAACATGTCAACACACCAAAGGAAGTTGATATAATATTAATTCACAGAGTATACATTAATGTAAAACCTTAGCCTAATAACCTTGAGATTATGGGTTTAAGTCTCGGGGCAACCACTTTGTGTACTATGCCAAAGGTTAGGTGTGTATCCAATCTTTTCTCTCCCAAACACACATTAATGTGTACTATTTGGGGAGTGTTTATTTGTTTTTGTGTAGTATACATTGAGAGTCCCAGTCTTGAATTTCTACTATTGTGAGTTTACCTGACAAAGGAAACAAGTTAATGGGAAATAAATGCCATTTTCAAATGGACCATAAAAGGCCACCCATTTTGAGTTTACATTCTTTGATTGGGGAATTTATTCCTCTATTATTTTAGTGATGGGGTTTTAGTTTTACTGACTTTGTTCAGCGTCTTCTCATTTTTTCTTCTGAAATCTATCATCTTATTTTTTTTTTATTTAAATAAAAATCTGCTTATTTATTCTGTAGTCTTTAAACTTGATGCCAAGCCTGGCATTCTTCTTCTTCTTCTTCAGTGGGCAATCGAGCCATCAATGTGTGACAGACATGTCATGGCTATTGCTAAATAACAACAATTCATCCTCCGGAATTGTTAAATTATACATGTGTATCATACACGTCAAACTAGGTAGTTAAAGTGTAGGATTGGTTTGCCACTACTCAAGGTTGGTTTTGGAAGTTCACAAGACTGCTTGTAGATCAAGTGTGTGGGTCTGACCCTACCTTCTTACTCATTATAAGAATTCTTACTTTTTTTTCTTTTTGTTTTTGTTTTTTTATTTTTTATATATTTGTAATCAACTTACGGAGTTTTTTTTTTAATTTTATTTACAGAATATCCCAGATTGGTGGGTCTGGTTCTACTACATTAGCCCAATTTCATGGACCCTCCGGGGTGTGATTACCTCTCAGCTTGGGGATGTAGAAACCGTGATTATAGGACCTGGGTTTAAGGGCACCGTGAAAGAGTATCTGGAGGTTAGTTTTGGCTATGGTCCTGGGATGATTGGCATTTCAGCAGCAGTGCTTGTTGGCTTTAGTGCCATCTTCTTTAGTGTCTTTGCTCTCTCTGTGAAAATACTCAACTTCCAGAAAAGATAAATGGAAGTTCAGAGATCTCAGATGCGATTCGCACTGAACAACAGTGATGGCAAGATCTAAAATTGTTTTCAGTGAGAGATGAAGGATCTTAAGGCCCAATCTCAACATCAACTTTTTTGACCTCAACAGATTGGTAAATGGTGGGGCCTCATGTGCCTTCAACGGTACACTTCCTTATCCTATTCACTGGAAATTAAGCTTGATACATTTGTATTTTCCATCTTACAAGTGTCTTTTTTTAGAAGAATTTGTCATAAAAAAAATTAGCACTATAGTAATCATGTAAAAAGTTTTAATAGTTTGTCGCTGGATTAAACAATTTTTTACGAGTTGCATATTTTAGCAATTTCAATAGACAACTAACCTCAGAATTTTTTATTAAGCCTGAATCACAATGTCCTTCATCTTGCATTTTCCTTGAGCCTCAAATAGCGTAACTAAAAGTTTGCAATGCATGCTTAGATATTCGCGCGTTAAAATACAACCTCAGTCTACTTTTTTAGGAAAATGCTAAGAGTTATGCTTGGGACTCCAAATAAACTACCAAATAAATTACTAAACCTCTCATATGGGTGTGAGATCTACACAAATCACATGTGTGCGGGTCCCACACTCATTTGAAAGGTTTGGTAATTTATTTGGGATTCATAGCATTTTCCAAATGCTAAAGGCCTCTTTGGTCCAGTTTACTTTGAACTTAAAATTGATACACTTTTTCCTTTCCAGCTTTTTTAAGTTTTTTTATTTTATTTAATAAGTCCATCACTGAAATGGAGGCAACATCCAGACATTACCAAACAGATAATTAGACCAATTCAAACACCATGAAAATTCTTAACTAAATTACGAGACTAAAAGTAATGCAAAGTTAAAAGAGAAGTCAAAGCAGCTCTTCTGTAACTACTTTACCATAAATAAGGCAAAATTGGAGAAGAAACAACAAAAAAAATAAATAATAAAAAAAACCTTGTTTTCTTCTACTTGAAGACAAGATCAGTAAAATGAGCTAAACTTAACCGTATGTCCATTAAAAAAATAAAGAAAGAAACAATACAGAGCATTCAAAGAACTTTTCTACTATTTTATTTTCCTCAAGGAACTACTTTGTGGTGCACCACCACATTCTTTCTTCTCCATATGAAGTCGAAGCTCTTTTCATGGAATCAGTCTCTCCTCTCTCATTTCATCAATCCAATACAGTACTGAATCCAATGCATCACACCTCATTGTGTAACCCATCCGATCAGCTTTCTCTCTTGTCCCCAACATTTTCAAGGGGCACCTGAACAACATGTCCAGGAATACCCAGTTAGCCAAATCCTCAATACCTGTCTGAATCAACCCCTCCTTCTCCACAATCCCTTTCCAAACCTCTCCCTTGTCTGCCATTGCTGTCGAAAACATAAAATCCTCCGAAAACAAGTTTTCAGAAACTACTTTCAATCCAAATTTCATCCCAATAGCTGCCCATATATCCTTCCAAGCGAAACTCGGTCCATTGATAGCATTGAATGCTTGTCCATCACTGGAATATGTTTCCTCATTGGTAGCTGCCCAAATGTGCTGCCCAGCCACCAATCGGGCATCCGATGCATCAATATGCATCTCTTCCCAACACTCCCTTGTCCCTCCAAACACAAAGGGGAGATTCGAATGCTTGCAAATTGTTCCATAAACACACAAACTACCCATGAAATTGAACAATGTCCTCTGAGAACTACCCATGATCAAACCGGGCCGGTGGACTGACCAAGCCACCCTGCCCCCCAACCTCTCCTTCAACAAGTCCTCCAAAGCATAGTAAAAATTGTAGCCTCTACTTGCTCTTGGGCTGTCTTCATCATAGTAACACGTTTCTTCTTTTGTGTCGAAAGGCGGTTGCAGTGACACATAATGCTTAGTCCCCGTTTGGAGAGAGAAATGCTTTAAGGACTTGGCTGTAGGGAGGAGAGCATCCAAGGCATTGGACATCATGGCCTTGTTCTGCTCATAACAGTCTTGGCTGTCTAAGGGGAATTGGCTAGCCCATGTGACCCAGAACACATGAGTGACATCTGTTAGAATAGAGAGCTTTTGTTGGGTTTGGAGAGGGTTGAGGAGGTCACATGAGATGAAATGGTAATTGGGGTTTTGGATTGGTGTGATCTCAGGTTTTCTGGCTATGCCATAAACCTTCCATCTAGATTTTGAAAGTAGCTTCTTGACAAGTTCCTTTCCGACAAGCCCAGTTGCTCCTAAGATAATTGCAACATCATTTTTAATTGGAGCTTCTTCTGCCTCTTCACATTTTTTCACTGCCATTGGTGGGGGGCGGACTTGGATTCTTTGGCTCAGTTCTGATTCTCAATCCATCTCTGGTGACCAGATCTCTGTTTATATATACGCACATATATTTATATATTAATGCAACCTAACACCCTTTTTAACTCCTAATTCAAATCAACTACTAATACCCCTTATTTCAAGGGAGGAAAATCAAGGATGGTTTCAATTTTGTCTTTTGTGCTGATAATTTAGTTAATTATTTCTTTTCTATGTTGAACAATACTTTGTAATAAAAATATATATAATATATATATATATATATATCTACATTTAGAAAAGTATTCAGAATTTAAAACATGTAGATCAGATTCATTCAAAGTGTGATCCATACATATCTCACTAAATTTAATAACATAAATTTTGGATTTTGAATTTTTTTGTCTCTTGAATATATATATATATATATATATTGTGTGTGTGTTTTTTTTAATAATTGCTTATGATTGAATTTAGTTAGAGGCCCACTTGGTAAAGTGGCAATTTATTGAAGCGTCAAAGGGGTATATAGAATTGGGATAGGAGGACGGCAAGTTGAGACACCAGCCAGAACATTGTTGGCAATCTGAGTTAGAAGAAATTATTTTGTGTGATGTCTGAGGCAATACTCTATCTAATCTCCATTTCTATTATATATATGGGAATAGAATACCTCACATGGCTGCATACAGGGCATGCTGATAGGGACAGACTAAAAACCCAATCCCTATTTATTTTTATTTTTTTAAAAATCATTTGACTTTCTAAACAACCTATATTCCAAATGAATGGGAAATTAAATGGGTTTTTTTATCAAGCCATGTTGCAATAACGTAAAGGCATCACTGTTGTCGTGCATCACATGTTTTTGTGGTAGCTTCTTTTTGCATCTCACAGCTTTTTTCAGTTCACATAATTTTGATTTTTAAATCTTGTTCAATTCATAAGACTTAGTCTTTGTAATACTTTTATCTTTAATCTTCTAACCCTAACCCATCAACCACCATCACCCTCCACCCTCCGCCACCCCCTCCACACATTAAAATACTACAATAGTTAAAAAACCAAATAGTTTGGAAAATTGACATAGGAGTGCTGGCATTTCCAAGTAAAATAATGAGACTTCTAGTATCACTTCAAGAAAAATTATTGTGGAAGGTTATATGGCGTGACATATAATATATATTGTCTTTTAATAATAAAAACAGCACATAGTATGATGAATTTCACTAAATGAAATACCTTATACCTTATACATAGATAATAACTAATGATTGAAAGGTGATATCACGTGTTAATGATAATATGATATTACTATTTATTTATTTATTTTTTATGAAGACATTGCTCAACGCAAGTGTGCATTGGGGCAAACAGGAAGGATTTTTTTTTTAATTACATTCTCCACTTCTAAAATGTTTTAAAGTACATTATGGATAGGACTCATATGGCCTATTTTGGGAAGTGGGTTAAAAGTTACTTTCTACCTTTTAACCCACTTTTCTCTCTCATAAAAAAGTCAAAAAAAAAAAAAAAAAAAAAACAACTTTTAACCATCTTTTCAAGGAATGCACAATTTTGAGTGATCCTCTTTGTATTGTATTAGTATATTATTGGCAAGTTACATATATAAAACAACAATTTTTTTTTTTTTTTTTATTCAAGATAGTGTATTAAACAACAATTTGGGAACTCAAAATCAAAGTTTCCAATGTCAAAAATGTCAATGGCAACGTTTGTTTGTTTTTTTTTTTCTTTTTTTCCAATAATGTTGGAATCCAACTCATAGCCTTACGTAAGCACCCACATATGAGGGAGAAATTATTCAGTATGTCTAAAGCAAATTATATGGTGCTCCAATTAAACAGTTACTGGTTTAGTTAATAGTGTGCAATATTTTTTTATGATAAAATTATGTTGCTATTATTATTAAATTAATTTAATTTTTTTTTATGAATAATCTACACAAAAAGATTTATAAAATGAAAAATTGAAATTATGGCATATAATAGTTCCACAAGCCCCTTCAAAATTCATGCACAATCTAAATATGTTTCCCTGGCCTGGGATTGAATGTAGGTTCTCAGCTACAAATTGTCACCGCAAGACTCCAAAAACTTACATAGAAATTTATCTAAAAAATGATGTGGTTCAATTTTTATAATGTGTTTAAGTAATGGCGTTTTTCCTTTTTTTTTTTTTTTTTTTTTTTAACAAAAATAAATAAATGGTAAGCTTTGGAACCCCATGAATTATTAAAAATATTTATTTATTTGAGAATTTATTATTACAACAGATGAAGTAATGGCATTTTTCACCACCTGAAATCTTCCCAATACATGCCAAAATCATCATAAACCGACCCAAGTACAATCACAAGGGAACAAACAAGTACAACCGACAAGGCGAAGAAAGTAAGTTCTTGATTTAATTATCTAGCTCTTGATTCACCAAAAGGCCTCTCTCTAGATCAACTCAACATACAAATGAATACATTCATAGTGCTTCATAAAATAAAAACAAAAAAAATGCAAATTTGAATGAACAAATGATATAATGAATGATGAAGATGAACTCTCCAGAGAGGATGGCTTTGATTTCCAAGTTGGACACAGCATTCTTGATCTAACATGAAAATACAGGGAGGGAGGAGGGAAGAACTCAACACCATTATTAATTGGAATTAATTAAGCTTCCTTTTTTTTTTCCTTTTGTCTTTTTTTCTTTGTTTTTGAAGTTATGCAGGTTGAAACTTTAGGTAGGCAGTGGCAATGTTGGAAAGTGGAATTTTGTGAAGAACTCAACACCATTATTAACAATGTAGCTTTGGAAGTAATTAAGCTTCTTTTTTCTTTTTTTTTTTCTTTTTCTTTTTTCTCTGTTTTTGAAGTTATGCAGCTTGAAACTTTAGGTTGGCAGTGGCAATGTTGGAAAGTGGAATTTTGTGAACAAAGAAGCATGCTGCAATAACTGTGTAGCAAAGACAAAGCACTATTCCTTTCATGTAGTGTGATGTTCCATCCTGCAGATAATCACAAAACACAAACTTCTAAAATTAATCCCTTTATATGTGTGAGCATTTTTTTTTTCTTGGTACATAATGCATTTGTGTAAATTAATAGAACCAACTCGACAAACATGCAAAAAACTATAAAAAAAAATTGTACCAACTACTGTGGATTTTACAGTAGACCCCACACTATGAAAGATCCAATGAGTAATTGGTAAAAAATTTATAATTTTTTTGTGTCTGCAGTAAAATTAAAGTATTACTTCAAAAAATTTACCTTGAAAAATACCATAAAAGTTAGGGCAGCGTTTGGTAACGTTTACGTTTTTGGTTTATCTTTACAAAAATTTTATAAATTAGTTTTTATTTATTTTTAGAAAAACATAATTACAAATGCGTTTGGTTTGAACAAAATATTTGAAAAATTTTAAAAACATAAATTAAAAAATATGTTTGTTTAGGCCTAAAACATTTATATTTATTTTTTCTTATTTATGACAATGGGACCATACACATTATAATTGAAAAAAAAAAATTAATTGGAAAAAAAATTAATTGAAAAAAAATTATTTGTTAGTCAAAATTTTAAATTTCTGTTTAAAAATCAACGTAAACTCATTTTTTGAGTTTATGTTTTTTCCTCAAATTTAAAAATTGAGACAATCATTTATAAATCAAAAAAAATTATCAAACAAGTTTTTATAATAATTTTTAAAATTTTTGTAAATATAAACTGAAAGCAAAATGGTTACCAAATAGGCTCGTGTATAGTGTACATTTAAAGTTGGTGTTCTCAAAATGAATGTGATTCATAGATATACTTTTCTTATTAATTTTTCTAGGTATCTACAGTCTAAGCATATCTTTGTAGGAAGGAATTTGCAAACAAAATTTATATACATGAAGTGCATTGAAAATGATGTGGTAGTGACATATTTGTAATTATAAATCACCATCATAAGTGTTTTAACTAGAAATGAAATGAGTCATATAATTCTATATAGAATTTATGTAAAAAAAAATTGTTTGTATAGCATAATTACCCATCTTTGCATTGCCTATATGTATTACAAAGAGAAATTTTTGTACCCAAAAAAAATTATTTTGAGTAACATGATATTGACAATTTTAAAATTATGAACCATAATTGTGCATGTTACGGATTCTCTACAGGTGTCATATTCTTGTAATTTACAATTTTTTTTATTTCATATTTTTGTAATTACATTTAAATACAAAGTATAGCATTATTGAAGCAACAAATAGAATAATGATGCTAATTGAAATATCATTATTGGAGAGACTAATAGAAAAGAACCTGGAGAGTGAAAGCTGTGACTATAATTGAGAAAGCCAGGGAACCAGTTTCTAGGAGATTGAAGTCAAGATCCATATTTACACCCATTATCCATGCAACCACCACACATAATGGAACCTGAAAATTGAACAAGTTTAGTATTTAATTTATATATAATTTTACCTTGGGTTTTATTTACTTAGTTATTTATTAATTTCAAGTCTCACCACAAACATTGAAATTTGAGTTGCTGAACCCAAAGCCACCCCTAGTCAGATATCCTGCATGACAGATACAGAGAAAAAAAATTAATAAAAAAATTAAAAAATTTACTTGTCATATATTCAGAGAGGCAAAACTATAAAGATAACATATTAATATATATATATATATATATATTTGTGACATACCAACTTGTTTTTAAAAGCAAATATGACTGATCCAGCATGTTCTGCTGCATTCCCCACAATTGGTAGCAATATTACACTGATAAAGCTAACAGAAATTCCCCATGAATCTGAAGCAGCCTATTTTCATAAGAAATATTTATATCCATTAATTTAAAATGTTTATGAACAATTCTAAATAATATACATAAATAGGTCTGTAAAGAAGATTTAATAAGAAGTTTATATATATACCTCTATTGTACCCACAACATACTCTGATAACAAAGCAATGATAATTGTCATGCCAACCAACCAAATAAATGCACTCCAAAATCCTATCACAGGCTTCTCTTCTGAAAGCACATCATCACTCTCATCCACCTCCTGCCCATTTCCACCATTATCAATTAGCACTTTGCTAAAATTAAT